TCTTGAGGTAGGCCTGTATTCCTATAAAGTTCCCACTTAGGACTACTTTTGCTGTATCTCAATTTTGGATCATTGTGTTTTCATTTGCATTTGTCTCCATGTATTTTTTTTTTTTTTCATTTCCACCTAGATTTCTTCACTGACACATTGGTTGTTTAGTAGTCTGTTGTTTAGCTTCCACATGATTGTGGTTGTCAGGTTTTTTCCTGTAATTGATTTCTGCTTTCATACCACTGTGGGTGGAAAGATATTTGATATGATTTCAGTCTTCTGAAATTTATTGAGACTTGTTTTGTGTCTTGGCATGTGATCTTTCCTGGAGAATATTCCATGTGCATCTGAAAAGAATGTGTATTCTGTAGTTTGGGGATGGATTGTTCCTGTATGTATCTGCTAAGTCCATCTGGTCTAATATGTCATTCAAAGTCATTGTTTCCTTGCTGATTTTCTGCTTGGATGATTGATTGATGTCAGTGGTGTGTTAAAGTCCCCTACTATTGTTGTGTGACTGTCAATTTCTTCCTTTATGTCTGTTAATATTTGCTTTATGTACGTAGGTGCTCCACTGTTGGGTGCATAGATATTTACATTTGTTGTACTCCCTTATTGTATTAATTTCTTTGTCTTTATGTAATTCCCTTATTTGTCTCTTCTTACGGTCTTTGTTTCAAAGTCGGTTTTGTTTGCTAAAAGTGTTGCTAAACCTGACTTTTATTTATTTATTTATCCGCTTCTATTTGCATGGAATATCTTTTTCCATCCCCTCACTTTCAGTCTGTATGTGTCTTTAGGTATGAAGTGAGTCTCTCGTAGGCAGCATATAGATTGGTCTTGGTTTTTTATGTTTTGTCACCCGATGTATTTTGACTGGAGCATTGAGACCATTTACACTGAAAGTAATTATCAATAGATGTGGACTTATTGCCATTTTATCAATTGCTCTCTGGTTGTTTTTGTAGTTCATCTTTGCTCTTCTTTTGTTTTCTTTCCTTGTGATTGATGACTTCCTTTAGTGTTATGCTTGGTTTTCTTTTTATTTTTTTGTACCTCTTGTAGCTTTTTGGTTTGTGGTTCCTATTTAGCATCCTAGATATACAGCCGTCCATATTAAACTGAAGGTCATTGAACACAGTCTAAAAGAACTTCATTTTTGCTCCCCCCCTCCACATTTTATATACATGTTATCATATTTTACATTTTTGTGAGTCCCTATAACTAATTTTTTATTTTTAAAAAAATTTTTTAAATGTTTGTTTATTTTTGAGAGACGGAGAGACAGAGCACGAGCAGGGGAGGGGCAGAGAGAGAGGGAGACACAGAATTCTGGGCAGGCTCCAGGCTCTGAGCTGTCAGCACAGAGCCCGATGTGGAGCTTGAACTCATGAACCGCCAGATCATGAACGGCGAGATCATGACCTGAGCTGAATTCGGACACTTAACTGACTGAGCCACAAGGCGCCCCCTAGTTTTTTAGATATAATTGGTTTTATTACTTTTTTCTTTTAACCTTCATACTAGCTTTTGTAAGTGATTGCTCTGTATGTTTGCTTTACCCGTGAATTATTTTCCTTGCATAATTTTCTTCTAATTAAGGCATTTTCTTTCCTACTTCAGTCTCTTTAAACATTTTTTTATGAGGCTCTTTTAGTGGTGATGAACTCCTTTAACTTTTGTTTGGGAAATTCTTTATCTCCCCTTCAATTCTGAATGATAATCTTGCCAGCTGGATTATTCTTGGTATTAGGGTTTTTTTCTTTCAGCACTTTATATTTATCATGACTCTCCCTTCTGGCCTGCCAAGTTTCTGCTAAAAAAGCAGCTGATATTCTTATGAGGTTTCCCTTGTATGTAACTGGTTGCTTCTCTCTTGCCGCTTTAAAAATTCTCTTTATATTTAATCCTTGACATTTTAATTATTATATGTCTTGAAGTGGACCTTCTTGAGTTCACCTTGTTTGAAACACTGTGCTTTCTTCCCCACGTTGGGAAGTTTTCCACTATTATTTCTTCAAATAAGTTTTCTGCCCCTTTCTCTTTCTCTTCTCCTTCTGGGGCCCCAATAATGTGAATGTTAGTACATTTGACGTTGTCCCAGAGGTCCCTTAATATATCTCATTGTCTATTATTATTTTTACTTTTTGTTATTCAGCTGAATACTTTTCATTACCATTTTCCAGATCACTTATCCATTTTCTGCCTCCTCTAATCTGCTGTTGATTCCCTCTTATCTATTTTTCATTTCAGTTATGTATTCTTCAACTCTGGTTCTTATTTATGTTTTTGGTCTCTTTGTTTAAGTTCTCACTGAGCTCATCCACTTCTCTCTCCAGTCAGGTTCAGGTGAACATTCTTACGACCATTTCTTTGAACTCTTCATTGGGTAGATTGCTTCTCTCCATTTCCTTTAGTTCTTTTTCGGAGCTTTTGTCTTGTTCTTTCAGTTGGAGTATATTCCTCTGTCTCCTCATTTTGTTTGACTGTCTGTGTCTCTATGTGTTTATTTCTTCTCATGAACTTGAAGGAGTGATCTTGTGTAGGAATGTCCCCTGTGTTTTGACTGTCTGTGCCTGGCATCCTTGGCTGGCTGGCTATAGCTGCAGCTGGTACAGGCTAGGGAATGGGGCAGTCTGTGCTGAGACTTCCCTGGTGGGACGGCTGGGGCTGAAGTGGTGCAGGCCTGGGGTGTTCCACGGTGCCTTGAACCTGTGTCACCTTGGCAAGATGGCTGGAGCTTTGCGAACGCCGTCCAGGACCATCAGGTGTGTGCCACACTGGGACCACGTTGGTGGGACTGCTAGGGCCAGTGTGGGCTGAGGGTCTGGGATTTGCTGTAGCAGCAGGCCAGCTAGGTGTCTCAACCCTGCTCCTGTCTGCACTATCAAGGTGAAGGGGGAATGGAAACCATGGCCCTAGCCTGTGCTGTCATCCTGGAGAGAGTTCCAGCAGCTTCCTTGCTATTTGGCAGAGTTCTAGGGCCGGTACCTGTATACTCTTATTGCTTTTTAAAACTGTGGCTTTTGGGGGGCTCCTGGGTGACTCAGTTGGTTGAGCACCTGACTCCGGCTCAGGTCATGATCTCAGAGTTCGTGGGTTCAAGCCCCACGTCGGGCTCTGTGCTGACAACTCGGAGCCTGGACCCTGCTTTGGACTCTGTGTCTCCCTCTCTCTGCCCCTCCCTGGCTCACACTGTGTCTCTCTCCCTCAAAAATAAATAAACATTAAAATGTTAAAAAAAAAAAAAAAAAAAAAAAAAAAAAAAAAAAAAAACGTGGCTTTTTTTTCTGTGCCACAGAGCATCTGGAGCCAGAGTGGGCTGAGGGCCCAGGGCTCACTGACTGGCAGGCTGGCTACGGCACCTGGACCGAGCTCCCTTCTGTGCTGTAAAGGCAGAGGGTGAATGTAAACTATGACGCTCCCCAGCCCCTCCGGCTTGGAGAGAGTTCTAGCAAAGCCTCTCACTATTTGGCACAGGGCTGGTTCCTTTCTGTTCTAGTTGCCCTTTTAAACCATGGCTTTTTTTCCCCCTGTGCCCCAGGGCTGACGAATCTGCTCCTGGCCCCTCAGTTCTATCCCTCCCAGCAGCTGACAGCACCCCGGGCAGGAAGCAGTGTTGGGGGTGGGTCTCCCTTCATTGCCATGTCTCCATCCCTCTCCTGGTTCTCTGTGTGGTCCCTCCATCCTTTGTCGTGCAGGCAGCCTTCAAGCAGCCCTCAGTTCTTCATCAGGAAGATTTGCTCAGCAGGGAGGCACACATTTAATGTGTCGAGGAGGGGGAGGTGAGTTCAGGGTTCTCCTGACGTCGCCATCTTGGGCCTTCCCTCTGTGTTTAATTTTGTATTATTTTTCTCGTCCCTCTGTTTTTTAAACTTTAGACACTCGGGAGCCCTCGGTCTCATCCCCGGCTCCAGCCCTGAGGGTCTGTGACCCTGAGCAAATCACCTCCCTTGCCAAGGTCTCAGTTAACGCACCTGTAACAAGAGGCAGCCCTCTTGAGAACCCCGTGCATTTCCCCGGCACTCGTGTCACAGTTCTGGGGCCGTGTTCACTTTCAACCTCTCGTTTTTATTGTACTCTCCATGGCAACTCGAGTTTGGTAAAGGAGGCAGAGGAGCGGCTGTGACTCTCATTTTGCTTTTAAGGCACCTGAGCTGGTGGAGGGTAGCCATGGCTGACCCAGAGTGCAATGCAAGTGTCCACCTCAGATGCCAGGGCCATCCCCCCACCCTGGCTGCTGTCCACGCTGGGCCCCCTGCGGCTGCCCTGAAGCCAGCGCCAGGCAGCCCAACCGCCCGCCCCCACCTGCCCAGTCACCGCTGGACAGAGCAGGGGCCCGGGGACAGGAGGGAATGGCCCCAGATAACTGCTCTTTAGGGACTGAAGGAAGCAGACTGTTCGCTCTGTGCAGGCCCGAACCTGGGGGACGGCATCTGGGTCCTAAATCTCAGCTCGTGTGCCCAGTGCAAGGGATCCTAATTATCATAGATGTTGGCGTCGTCATTTCCTGAACCACCAGTGAGTGTGTGAAAGCAGGAGGTGCCAGGAGACGGGGTCGGGTTACTCCACCTGCTCAGAGAGGCAGTTGTGTGCAGCTGTGAGAAGAAATACGCAGGGAAGAACGACCACGATGTACGTAGACAAAGGGATAAGTGTCACTCAGGTGAGGAGACCCCCAGAAAGGAGGGGATTCTCTGCACCCCGGCTTGGAGATTTATTTTATCACTAATAAAGAATAATGGCTCTGTCGAGGCCCACAGCCTGTGCTGGAGGCGGATGGGGGTGAGCTGAGCTGGAGCGTCGCCTGATCCCTCAGTAGAGTCTCCGTAAAATGAGAGGTGTCTGAAATCACTGTGAGAGCGGAGGGCCCCGGTGTAAATGCAGGTGGCGGGCAGGGTCCCGTCCCAGCCCGGGGAGGCGGCGAAGCGGGCAGGGGGACACGGGGGCGGCAGGTGGTGAGCGGGAGGTGCCCTCCGCGTCTCCACCAGCCTTCTCCTCCTTTGCAGTTGACTTGGAGCAGGTCTGGGAGCTGGATTCCCTGGAGTACCTCGAGGCGCTGGAGTGCGTGACGGAGCGCCTGGAGAGCCGTGTCAACTTCTGCAAGGCCCACCTCATGATGGTCACCTGCTTCGACATCACCTCCCGGCGCCGGTGAGGCGCCGGCCTGGCCTGCCAGCCCCTGGCCCCCCGGGACCCCACAGCCAGCCCCTCGCCTGGCCCTTGGTGCCGGCGGCTGGGACACAGCAGAAGGAGGATGAAGGTTGGTGCAAGTCTGGAGTGAGTGCTGAGCGGGAGGCAGTTTTCTGGTGTTTTCTGTAGGAAAGGTGCGAACACCGCGCGTGTGGGAGGAGGAAACGATGGAAAAGCCCAAGGACGTGGAAGCCGCGTGAGACTGAAAAAAGCACTTTGAGGAACTTTCGAGAACTTGTTTATACAGGGGTCCTGCTGGCAAGAGACCTCTCTCTTCTCTGGCTTTGTGGGAAGGGGCGAGGGTGCGCACAGGATCGCTGTCGGGAGCGAGACCGGAACAGCGGATTCCCCAGAGCGACTGATTAAGTGCCTTGCAAATCTTTATTATCCAAACCTTTCTGTTCATACTTTCTCGTGTCCAGACGGTGCTGGTCCAGACGGAAACAACCACAAAACAAAACAATCCCCATGCGTTTTTTGAAATGTATTTGCAGCTCGTTTTCTCTTGGTGTTTGATCCGATTTCTGACTTGCTGTTTCTACGTAAGTAGTGTTTGTAGATCTGTTCCCTAATCGGTATTGCTTATGAATAAATGTTAACTGTCCTTTACGGTTCTTCCGCTAAGGCCACTTGCACAGAGCATAGGGGCTGCCCGGGCACAAGCCAGTGTGTCTCCAGAGAAGGTCGGAACAGCAGGTGACGCTCGATGCCACCCTGCAGCAGGGGGCAGGGGCAGCGGGCAGACTCGTGGGGCAGGTGCACGTGGGCTCGAGAGAACGGGAGAGGCGACGGGGGCCGCGTTTTGAAGGGAAAAGAAGCCTGTGTGACCCGGGCCTTACGTGCCCTTGGAGAGGGATGTTTGTTGCTGACGACACATCTTCACCTTCCTGATGCGTGTGCTTGTTCCTTTGCCCACAAACCCGGGGTTTTTCATGGCCCTCAAAACATTCTCCATGGTCGTTTTGATTCCAAAGACTGGATTGAGAGCTTGAACCGACTCAAGAGAGCCATACTTTTTGTTCTCCAGTCTTGCGAGTTTGTTAGAAGCAGGGGATCTTCCCCAGTTGAGAGAATGTACTCAGAGACTCAACAGTATGGGTTCAGAATAACAAAGGAGGTTGGGATCACACCACAGCTCTGTTGTCCAGGGTGCTGCTTCAGTGCAAACGGTCCCCAGTCTCCCATGTCCCGAGGCCTCCATCCCTAGAAAGGACAGGCTCGTCCCCTCGGGCCTGGCACCGGAAGGTGGAGAGGTTTCCTGTGGTGAACCACACCCCCCTGGAGAGCCACGGCCCGGGGCTTTTGTCCAGGTCTTAGGTCCCAGCGACGTAGGACCTAAGCCTCAGATTGAGATGTTCATTCTACCACGACCCCCCCTTAGGGACTCTCATACCCACTGTAGTGATGGAACCCCAAGGCACCGAGTGGTCAGCGGATTATCTGAGACCAGCTGTGGAGGAGCAGCGGCCTCCTCTTACCTCCCAGGTCAGGGCCCTCGCCTGCTCATGGTTAAGAGGGCTCAGCCTCTCAGAGAATACTACTCACGTTTGCCCTCAAATGCAGCATAGCATCAGGAGCCTATTTCTAGGCCAGACAACCCCTGCTACCCAGCACCTCAGCCCCAGCTGCCCCCCAAGGAAATAGAGCTGTGCGCGTCTGTGCCGGCAAAACTCAGCCGAACTCGGTACATAGGAACCGAGGTCTCGTGAGCCCGGCTACCTGACCCTTTACTGGCCAGGACAGGCACAGATGGTGCTGGCGGCTCGAGTGTTTGGAAGTCAGCCCCCTAGACTGGAAGCCAGCCTCATGGATGACAAGTCGAGCTCCACATTGTCAGAGCCTGCTCCTACACGGAGGGACACGCAGGATACGGTCTCATCGGAGAGCCTGATGGGCAGAAACATGGTGGAAGCGTTCAGGAATGGACCGATCTCCCTAGTTTAACAAGTCTGTCTGTCACCTGGGGAAGCAGGGCCTCCCCACCCCACTCCTCAGCCTTAACCCCAGCCTACGGGGCAGTGCAAGGCTCTGGCCACGCCTCTGGTCTCACAGCACCTATACGAACAGACTTGTTCAATGGCAATGTTGTGGAAGCTTCTGGATCTTGGCCAAGGGATGCCCATCTTCTGAGCCTTGAGTTTGCATCCCCTTGGGTTTCTGCTCTGAAATATACTGCTTCATGCAAAGCCTTTAATTGGGGAGTTGTCAAAGGTGAGTATTCTGGTCTTCATTGGAAACAAATCACTTGACGAGCACCCCACGTACTCAGCATTTTCCCCGGTGCGTCACCCCCAGCTTCCAGGTCACCACACTGCGCGGGCTTCCCCAGGCAAGGGGGTGCTGATGCTTTCCCTGGAGTGAGGCCAAGTGGAAACATCTACAGAAACTTAAAATCTCAATTAGTGGAATCTTTCCTCCTACCGAAGCCTGCTTTCGTACATTGGTAGCAACTCCACAAGAGAGCAAAAGCATTGAGTGAAACCAAGAGCGATCTTACTGAGTCCAGTTGGCTTCCCCAGGATGCCACGGCATGGAACGTCTCACGGGATGTCGTCAGCCAGGCTGAGGACTACAACTTTGTGTGGAGGTTGTACATTCTGGCTTTTTCTTTTCTTTCTCTTTCATTCTTTTAAACCTACGTAAGCTGCAAACATCTTCATGTACCTAGTATTGATTAATTATGTGAAGACGTCATGAATTTCATGCTGTCACGTGCTGGTTCCTGGTTCTACCTATGAGTTGACTATAGAGGATGCTGTTCGGGCACAAAAGAAAGCAGGTGTGAGCAACTATCCCACTAATTGAAGAATGCCTTGTTGAATGACCAGATAAGTGGTTCCACATTTTGGTCTTGGTGACAGATAACCCAAGAAGGCAAGGAGAATGGCACAGAACTCCCATTATCCACACATAGAAGGACCGGAAACTTCTTATTTGAAATTAATGTTTCGACGCATAAAGCCTTAATTCCTCGTCTGAAATTTGCCCTCCACCCTCCAAATAGTTTAGCGTGAGGTGTAGCATTAAGCAGAACAAAATGCAGACAGACAAAGACAAAAGGGAAGTAGTGATATTGTTTCCCGCGGAGTAAATCCATCTTGCTTTTCATGATGCTGCTTTGTGCTGTGACAGAGTGACAGTTGGCTTTATCCCAGGCTTCCGGTCCCCACCTGAGAGCTGCAACCTTTGATCTTCTTGCCCTTGAATTCCTCCCTCCATCACGGAGAAGCTGTCGCTAACTTTCATCTCTTCCAGATTCGAAATCAGAACACCGCGTTCGTTGTTTTATCTTGTGTTGCTATTCTGAACCGGAGGAAGTTGGTGCAGATGCGGGGAGGGGGGAAGGGTCATACAAGGGACCCTGAGCTGGGGGGTGGGGAAGGGGGAGAAGATGGCAGCCCAGCTCAGGGAACCCCGCAGGCAAGAATCTGGCCAGTCGTCAGAAATTAGTCTTGAGCTTGAAGTCTGTGCTCCTGGAAGATGGCAGTGGCTTCACCGTGGCCACAAATACCATCCGGGAAGGTGGTTCCAAAGGCCCGACACACGCATTCACATCTTGTGCCTGTTCTTAGATTTCTGTTCGTGAAGGGCAAGGGGCCCTTCTTCTCTGGGCTTCAGATTCTAAAGCTGATGGTGAATTTGGATTAATCCGTAACCCTTAAGTGTCACCGTGTGAAAGCAGTTCACTGACCTGGGCTTCGTGGGACCGAGAGCCAGGCTTCCAAGAGCCGACCGACTGTGGCCGACTGTGCAGACACAGTGGCCAGTCTCATTAGCCACGGCTGATGCGCAGTTGAGGCACCCCAAAAGCTATGCAGTGAATGTTTTAAAGTTCCTTATTCCCAAAAGGATTTCAGGCTACAAAAGAAATTACTAAAGATGAGTCCATGTCACAATTGAAACCGGAAGAAATCAAGAAGAATGTGCTCATTTTTCTTTCCTTCTGGAATATTCACGCACTCTGAGCATATCCTAAAGGATTCCTCACTTTTAAAGGCAACATCTTGGGGCGCCTGGGTGGCGCAGTCGGTTGGGCGTCCGACTTCAGCCAGGTCACGATCTCGCGGTCCGTGAGTAACCATGTCAAGTAAGAAAGAGGTTGAAAGTCTTGTCACAGCTAGTTGATGCTAAATAAACTGCCTGGTCCCGCCGTCCCCGGGGTCTCCCTGCCACTGTCTGACGTCCCGCGATGGAGGGACGCTCCTCACCACTGCCACATGAGAGACCTGGCTGCACCGAGAAAGCCCAGCACAGCCCAGCACTGTCTGTCCCACATGAAACAAAGCCAGATGCCCAGTTTCACAGACACTGCCATCAAATGGTCTAAAGGGGTTTTGGAGTTGGGGGGTGGGAGGTGGTCAAGAAACAGTCGGTAGAAAAACTATGTTTCTCTGGACTATAATATCTCTTTCCCCCCTCCTTCAGCAGATATCCATCAACATTTGTGGGTAAGAACTCACAAATTTGTGCCACTTAGCAATTTTCCCGACAAAAATACATATATATATTTTTTAAATTACAAACTGTTCATTTCCAGATAAAAGCCCAATTCCAACCCAGGAGAAGCCTGTGTAGCTCAAGCCCTTCTTGTCAAAAAAGTTTTTTGCCCATTCATAGAAGCTAGTTTATTCATTCCTGAACAAACACATTCTGCTTTTGGGTGGCCCTCCTCAGAACCGGAAATGATGTCATAATATCGGACCCAGAATGGCGCTTGAGGCGGTAGAGAGCCTTCAGTGCACCCAGTGAACACTCTCCAGATGGACTTGTGCCCGTGCGTGGACTTGTGCCCGTGAGTGCGTGGCCCTCACCTGTCTGCTTCACACAGACACAGCTAAGAGGGCTCATGGCTTCATTCCCCCCACGGCTAACCAACAGCCCACGGTCATGCTCAACCTAGGAGGAAGTTTAATTTCTTTGCAAACTCAGGATATTGTTTTATAGCATCACTTGTGTTTTATCCTT